ATGATTTCACTCCTTTATTTCTTTACATTCAGTTGAGCATATATTTATATCTATTGCAGTCATTTCATTCAGATATGGTTCTTGAGCAAGAAAATTTGATTGCATATGGGTTATGATATTCAGAAAAAAGGGCAAGTTGAGCCCTAGGTACATTGGGCCTTATCGCATAATGTGACGCATAGGCCGAGTTGCCTATGAGGCAGAGTTACCTCAAGAGTTAGAAGCAGTACACCTAATTTTTCGTGTTTCTATGTTACAGAAGTGTATAGGAGATCAAACACATATAGTGTCGAGAAGCTATCTTATGAAAAAGTGCTTGTTGTCATAGTAGATTGACAAATTAGAAGGTTGCAAAATAAGGATATATCTTAGTAGAAGTGTTGTGGCAGAGTCGTAATGTTGAGGAGCTCACGTGGGAAGTTGAGGAGGACATGAAGTCCAATTATCCCCACCTGTTGGTTCCTTCAAATGAGTAAACCAGCATGTTACTTATGTAATATATGGGTTCTTTTATTGTTTCCTATGATGTAGAAAATACTATCATCATTCGAGGACGAATTTCCCTAAGGGGGGAGGATATGACACCCCGTCCATTTGAATGTTGGAATTAACATGTACTTTTGTAATAAGAGTAAAACTTATTAACACGTAAGGAAGTATGGTTTATGAGTTATTTTTAATTACGGAAAGTTTTTATGTTAAGTATTGAAGTCAAGAAAGTTGCTAAATAAAAGTCGGGAAAGGTTATTGTAAATGTTGTTAACGAATTTCTCTAAAATTTTGGTCAAATGTTTCTGCAATTTTCTCCTAGTATAAGAGTAGTTAGAAGGCCCATTACCTATAAAATCGAAGGTATACGAGTCTTGTAACCAACACACTAAATCACTAGTCCATAAGACATTAGAGTAGAGAGTTATGCACAAGTAGGTAGCCCTAAGCGCCCCCCTAACTCTAAGTCGGTGGTCTTTTTAAGAGACCACCATCTTCGTCTTTTGTTTTTTCAAAGAATCAGTGGGACTGAAAAATGGTAAACCCACCTTCCAATACTCCCTGGATACTTAGATTCTCAACTCGGATGTTCAATGGAAGTTGCTCTACGTTGCGAGCTCACCGTTGTGGTATAATTTTCTTGTCGATTTAGGATTTGGTTGTTACTGCTTCAAGAAGGTAGAATTGTAATTGTATTATTTCAGACATTTTGGTTGATGTAATCTTATTTTTACAACCCTTCTTACTTCAGTTTGCCTTACATGCTCGGTACATTATTTTGTATTGTTTTCCCTTGTCGGGGGACACTGCATCCATGCCTTCTTGAGTGACGACCATACTAACATGCCTAGTAGCACACCCGCCCATCTGGTCGAGGCTCTGTCATGTCCAAGCGTTAGTTCATAGAGGCTTGCAGCCTAGTGTGTTGGTTAGTAGTCACGTTACTGATCATGTTGGCCTTGCTTTCTAGTTGACTAATGTTTGATAATTGCTTGACATATTTGTTAGTTACATACATGTTTTTAGTTCATGTATAGAGATCATAGTGGCTTTGACGTTCCATAACGATCATACTTTCTTAGATACCATGGTGGCCTCGACGGCCCAAATAGGCTTCTATACTACTTGTTTCTTACATTATATAAATTGTTGAGAGTAGTTGTTTTATTTGTAGAGCAGTTAACAAGGGTCATGTCGGTTGAGGGCTTATTTTTAAGTCGAGATATACTTATTTGTTTTCTCAACTATATGTGGCTGTCATGCGCCAGTAGCAAGTGGTTTAGCAAGGTCGGCTCAAGCCTAAGTTTTGGCATTTGGTGCCAGTTGCACCCCTTTAGTTTGGGGCGTGCCATTTATCTTCCAATTATTTCATTATTATTTCATTTGCAAGATCAATCTACTCACGTGTCCTTAAATTGCTATGAAAAATTCAACTATACTGTTTTATGGGTAAACACTGACCAATTTCTTTGTTAGAACTTACAACCCAAATATTTGATATACTCATTTAATAACCTTTTCAACTTCGACTTAAATTTCTTTTTCCAAATTTGTAGTAAATCATGTCCAAACACCTACTTAATTATTTATCCCCATAAAATTCAGTTGATTATCATTTTACTCACCTTATAAAAATTCAATATAATTCATCCCTTGCTTGGTTATCATTTAATCTTTTCTCATAAATAAATTACATGTACAAGTTAAACGAGCATCTATTATTGTCTTTTAAGGAAATCTTCATACCACTTTTGAAAATATTACTTCACCTAGCTTAATATATAATATTATATCCAATTTTTTTTTATTATTTATAATGTATCAATCTTGTATAAAATAAACTGTATAATAGTGTATAACAAGTGTTTATACACAAATATGAGTTAAATCATGTATTTATATACAAAGTATAAGCTACGTCGCGTAAATATATTTAAAACAAGACATAAAACGTTTTTTCTCTTTGTGATATAATATTAGATTGTAGGTAAACAATGGATAGATAAACAAACTCATAGTATAGAAATTGATCTTGTATTATTAATTCATGCACTATGATTTTTTTTTTGTATTACTAAATCAAGAATAGTATACAAAGCAAACGATCCTTTAAAAAATTTTCATATTGGTTAATGAGTACTCCTTTTACAACTTCTCTATAAACATTATTGATTGAAAACTTTTCCTCTAAAAATTGAAGCAAATGCCATGGTGATTGGTGGCCCCTTCACTTGTCTCATCATGTTGGAATTGATTTTCTGATAATGACCCTTGTGAAATCATAATAAGTTTATAGTATATAGTAAGAAGACAAGATAATAGTACAATTTCTATGATTTTAATATCTTTGTGAAGACCAAATGAACGGTCACTCTCCTGCCTCGGCCCACAAAGCAATTAACGATCACCATATTTTCGCCCGTCCGCTTTTCTCAAAAATCTCACATCAAGTGGTAGCGATTTGATACAGTTTTGTTTGGATTGATTTATTTCAAGTATTTTTAAGCTAAAATAATATTAAAATATTTTTGAAGTGTTTGAATAGACTTTTTTTTAAAATGATTCAAAATGCTTATTTTAAAGCTAAAAGGATAAAAATAAGTCAAAAACAATAAGCCTATCTAAACTAGTAAAAGATCCAGTCAAGTAATATTCCCTCAAGTAATGTAAATGACCTCTTAGAGTGGATCATAAATAAAATAATTTATGGTTGAAACTCATTTCAAATCTTACGCTTAACAGAAGAAGCCAAAAATGATAAAAGTGAAGCTAATGGCATTCATTAAAATGCACCAGATACTTATCGAAAAAACACTACTCAATATTATTTTTCTAATTCAACTCCTAAAATTTGATATATATTTTGTCAATTAAAGTGGATGAACATAAAAATAATAATCTATCCATCGTACACAAGATTAACAAATATAGGCATGCTTGAGAGCATGTTGTTAATGTGAAAGAAGTAGATCATATTTCTTATACTTGTATGAAGTTTGTAGAATTAGATAGTTTAATTCCTTATGATTAAGTTCATCTTAATTAGATGATTTCTTTTTAAAAATATAAATATTTTATCGTTGAGTTTAAATTTATTTACATTTTGTCGACTAATCTTTTCAAGAGTCAATGATCACCAATATTTTTAACGGATACTATTAGCTTTACTTTTATTATTTTTGACTTTCCTGTTAAGTATAAGATTTGAAATGAATCTCAATCATAGTTTATTTTATTATCCATATGACGTTGATTTAAGAGTCATTGAACATTACATGAGGAAATAGTACTTGACTGGGATCTTCTTTCATCTAAACTGACACTAAACTCTTTTTTCTTCCCTTCTCCAATATCCAACATGCAATTAGACGATGAACGAAATGTGATGAAAAATTTGATAAATGAGAGTTCAAATTTTAACAAAATTAAATAAAAAACATAATCAATTTTTTAAATTTTAGAAATAGAGTTATTGTTTAAATGATACATTGAAATTGCAGTATATATCTTATGAAATAATGGAGATAACTTAAATTGACCAAACATTATTATTATTTACACAAAAGGGGGAAATAGCAATTTTTGGACCAAATATTATACTAAGGAATAGGATGAAATTATAAAATGATTTGCTCGTTTTTTTT